AAGCAGCCGGAAGTGATCAGAAGAGCCTGCCAGAGCTCCACCGTCTTCGCAAATCTCTAGGTGTTAGGAATTCGAAGATGCCGGTCTTGATCGCTCCTCTGACCTCACGGAGTGCTCCTAATCCTTTTGTCTGATTGCCGCCGGAGCCCAGAACCGCTCGCCAGGCGTTCCGCGTCTGAAGTTGTAGCGGGTGTGGGTGACGGCATCTGCAGCTGGACACTGCCAGCGAATTCGACACGTTTTCCCAAATGTGCATGTAGACCTATGTCTTCCCAAGCATGCTCGGCTGTTCCGGGGAAAGCACCCTGGAAGTTGATGGTCAGGAGAAGGTGAGGACTTTCATGACCACACACTTTGCTGTGCCGCTCGATTTTCAGGTTGGTTCGGCACTAACATCCGAACTGACCCTGCCAGAAGTGCAACGTCCGACTTGAAGACGCGATGCAACGCTCCACCGAAACACCTGCAGCAAGAGCCCTAGTTTGCTTAGTTTGGCAAGGGGTGGTTTCCAGACTGACAACCCGGAAGTAAACGGCTCAGTCTATGCGTGGCTACCAAAGGAGTGCTTGCGCTTTGCGCCCTCCGAGCGCCCCGTGGGCAAAGACGTGGCATGGCCGAATTAAGGCCAAGGGCTCCGGAAATTCACATTTATGCGAATCACAAACCCGAGCCGTGCCGTTTGGGTAGCGGCAGCGGTTTTAATCCTCGTGGCCCTTTAGTGGGAAGTGCTCGGCCCGGATGCTTCCCATCACATCATTGTAGGCATTATCATGACTCAGAATAAATGTCACCACCACCACCACCACCACAGCCGCCACCACCGCCACAACCGCCACCACCACCACCACCACCACCACCAGCAGCAGCTGCATCATCATCATCATCCTCATCCTCACCCTCAGCATCATCATCATCATCATCATGGCCGCTACTGGCATCGACGACGCCATCGTTGTCTTTATCGTCGTCATAGCCGTCACCATCATCTTCATATGCGCCCTTGCATGCTCCTGTTTACTTCATGACCACTTCCCAGTTTAGTGAATGATTCTCATCATGTGTCGGCTGGCTGACGCTTTTGAGCAGGAGCACCTCTGTTCAAGATTGCGCGGCTGAGGTGTTGTCCCGACTGAAGCGCTTTCCAAAGCAAGTCCGGGTGAAGACGTTGAGAATGCTGGCAGGCTTCCTGGGCTACCTGGGAGTGTCTGTCTGAAATCGTTTAACATCAACATCAAACATGTTTTTTTCCCAGCTTTGTCGGAGGGCTTAAATTTGAAAGGGGGCTGCAGCGCTCTTCCTACGGGAGAAGGCAGGCGGTGGTTGACCAAGGAGCTCGCGGATGGATGTGACTCTGTCAGGCTCCCTAGGAGGTCTGTGCTGGAGGCTCCCCCCTCTTTCTTTCTGCTGCCAGAGTTTTTTTGCTCGAATTTCCCATTCCAGCTGGCTTTTGTGCCCGGCAGTGCCAGTGAAATGGCGTGGCACGTGATCCATCGTGTGCCTTCTTCCAAGAGCTGCCGGAGCTGCCAGCAGGATGCGAAGAGATGCAAAGGCCCACACCTAGATGGGAGGGGGGTGTCGGATACATCTTAATTTTAATGTCAGAGACATCGTGCTCTCCGGAACTAGGGGGTGATCGGCCATTGCAGAGTGTGGTATGTGCTCGGCCAATTTGCTACAAGAGCAAATGCACGCCTTTCTCGTGAATTCTTTGAGAAGTGCCGTGTTTGAACACGCTTCTCGCTAGATTGTGTCTTTCATTCTCTTCTAGAAGCCTGGAGGGCTTGTGCCAGTGGAAAGCAGGCAATGGCTCGCCAGCACTTGGGTTACCGGATGAGCACACAATGCCCCCTCACCAGTGGAGGTTCTCCATTCGGTTTGATGCCAGCAGCTCAACTCAAGGTGGGATCCAGCTACTAGTCGCTAGTCTGGGGCTCCTGGTGCTCCGCGGACACCCCAGTGTCGGCCATCATTTGCTGTCCAGGGTGCCGCATTGCTGCAACTCGTGCTCACGAAAAAGGCTGCCCGTCGACTCGGCAGCCAGATGCAAGGCAAAGCAAGGACACATGCTAGCCCAGGGAAGAGAGTGAACCTTGTCCACTTCGTCCTCAGTCACGATGCCAGGGACCAATTATGACCAATTCGAGAAACCTTACCCAACGACAGGATTATGTTCACAGTAGGCGAGCTCCGCTCTTTGGTTTTCATTCTAGAATTGAGACTTAGAGTTCTGAAGGCAGGGCAACCTCCAGCGAGGCACAGAAGCAGTCACACGGTGCAGCCGGGAGTGTGCACTCCCACAGCCATGGAGTCAGACCATGGCGATGCAAGCTCAGACGACGACATTCCCGTGGCCTGGCGAAGAACTGGGGCCCGGGGTCGGTGAATTTGTTCAGTAAGTAGCTACTTGTACCGCAAGACTTGAATGCAGCGGCCTTTACCTGTGGCCCCTACCAGTCTTCGTGCGCAGAAGCAGCAGCATTAGCATCAACACCCTGACCATGATTATGGTATCTTTTGTGGTGCTGATGATGACATTTCTGCCAGGTATTTGCCATTGCTACCCTTGTCATTGCCATTTCATGCCACTGCCCATCCCTCCGGGCCCCGGGCCATTCCTTCTGTTGTCCGCAAGCCCATTAATGGGCGTCCGCTTTTTTTGAAGATGCCGGCCTGCAGCAGTGCGGCGCAACACAGTGCTTCCTACCTGCAGCACCTTCCTTCCACCGCTGTCGTTACACCGTGAAAAGCCTCCTTCTATCTCGTCCTGGCACACTTGCTCTAGGTCCACCCGATACTGTACTTATCCCGCAGTTCTGTCTTACTTGTCCAACGATGCCACCTACCACATTACTTCGAAGAACTGCGCCGTTTCCATCTTAGGCGAAGCATTTTCGTTTCACGGATGCGCCGCTGATCTGCATGTTGATGGCAAGCTGCTGGAGCGCGGCCTTTTGTGTGCTTGCCCGAGGTTGACAGAAGTTCCGAATGGTGATGCTGAGGCGGCTGCAGAGCCTCGGCATGGACACAGTCAGGTGCTAACTCTGACGCCCGCCCTGCGCCGTCGGAGGCATCTGTCTCCCGAGGCATTGTTGCTGGGCAACAGACAGCTGACCTCTGTCGACAGCCTGGAGTCTTTCAAGAATCTGAAGAAAGCAGAGCTGCAAGGGAACTCCCTAAGCTCCCTCGGCTGCTCGGCACTGAGACGCGAGATTTGCTGTGCCTTGTTCGGAAACTGGCTCGGGCTCCGAGGCTTCCTGGAGATGAATCACAGTCTGTGTTGGCTTGGCGTCGCGAAGAACAAGCTGCGGAAAATCTCCGGCCTCACGAACTTGTCCAGCTTGGCGGTCCTTGACATCAGCGACAACAAAGTCACGAGGCCTCGTCTGCGCAGCCTCTGTCTGTGCCAGGGAGTAGAGCGGCTCCCTCCCGCTCCAGGCTGGCTGGCCTGGAAGGTCTGCAGAGCCTCAAGGCACTCATCGCCGCGCGAAATCGCATTGCCATCCTGGGGGGGGGTCTGAGCCCAAAGCGGAATCCTCTGCTGGAGACGTTGATTCTCTCCTACAACCACATTGAGCAGTGTGCACTGACAGGCAGGGGCCCGTCAGAGATTGGTTGACTATGTATGTGTGCACCGGCCCTCAGTCCATTGAAGGTTTCAAAAATCTGAAGAAGGTCTCGCTGGCCCACAACCGGCTACATTCTTTTCCGAGCCTTAAGAAGCTGCCGGCTTTGAGTGAACTGCGGCTGAACGGCAACAAGCTGCTCGCCATCTCTCCCGTCGTGGCCCACCCGCAGCAAGCACACCCTTGTACTCGCGGTGCAGAGAGTCTTGCAATACGGTCTTCTAACCTCAGAGCTTCACAGCCAGGGGGCTGTTATGGCGAAACTTTGTTTGGCTGTCCAGGTTCCTCCTTCTTTAAACTTCGCAATGAGAGATGTCACAGCTATTCTTTGCCTCCAGGTAGCATCGTTACCACACTTGGCTACGCTGGATGTCGGCAACAATCTTATCAAGCAGATATCAGGTTTCGAAGCTTTGCAAGGACAGGCATGTAAGTCTCGCAGTTTCGCAGTGCGGAACCTCTGTCAGCTGGCAGGACTTCTCTGGCTAACCAATCTCAATGTGCGAGGCAATGTGTCAGAAGGACAAGTGGCAACGATCTTCCCATGTCAGGGAGCTTGCGTGTGTTGTTTTTTTCTGATGTGGCGCAATGCAATGGCCGTGGCGTAACCATCCCCAAAAGGCGGTCCCTCGGCCGCCGCAGCAAAACAATGTGCGAAGCGGCAGACTGGCAGTCGCAAGGAGACGACGTGCCCGACCAGCTCCAAAAGATACTGGCCAGCCTGCCGCTTCTCTTGACAATTTGTATATCTGTGTGTCTCTATGTATTCATGTCACCTACCCTGGAGCTGTGAGGCCCCGGTTGGAGATCCTGAACGGGAAACGTCAGTCGGGCAAGACCAAGAAGAAACGCAAGCACAACCAGATTGCTCCGTCGCCTCCTCGATGGTCAGATGGCCCTGTCAAAGCTCCAAGGGGTGGACGTGGCTTCGCTTCGGCACGTGGAGCTGGGCGGGGGCGTGGGTCTGCTCGCATGCCAGATTCCGATGCAGCTTCTTGGCTGCTCTCAGTGGCTGATTTTGGAGTCTGAGAGGGAAAAGAAGGAACTGAGAGCGAGAGAGAGAGAGTGCAAAAGCAATAGCTGTAAAGGCCTGCTTCAAAAATAGGTCCGTGATGCAGTTATTGCTGATGGGAGGGAGGACAGGAAGCAGCATCTTCACTGGTGCCCGAACCGAAGCACTAAGCAACGCAGATTCCCTTTCCAGTCTCTGGGCTGGGCTCCCTGTGTGGTAAGCCAGTGGTAAGCTCATGGGCAGTACCACAGAACAACATGGAAGAAGCTCGTGCGCGGGCTGGAGGGCTTGTGCCCAAGTCACAACTGCAGCAAGCGCGACAGAGAGAAACAGAGAGATAGAGATTATTGACGAGAGTGCGTGACTGCCCTTCGCCCTATTTCCGGAAGCAAGCAGCTAGCAAAAGACTACGGCTGACTATGCCCAGCTGCTTCCGCCTTCCGCAGGAGGAGCCAGAGCCTTTGCGTCGCGGACGCGGCGGCAAGGCAGGGATCACTGGCAGCTCCAATGGACCGCGACAAAAGAAGAAGCTACGCCCGAAAGCAGTGGAGGCGCAGGAGCTCTTGTGGTGAATAATGCTTGGTTTGCAGGTGCGGTCTGTGTGAAACATGTCTGACGAGGCGGAAAAGCCAAGTCGCCAGCGCGATCGTGATCCGTCCGCTCCCATGCCAGCCAGAGTGAAGGACAGGTCAGCTCGCAAGAAGGTGAAAGTGAGGAAGACCGACCCGGACATAGTGAAAAAAGGCAAGAAGAGTGTTCGCAAGAAGCGGCGGGCAAGGCCGACCGCTGCATCCTGACGAAGACGGAGACGATACGCATCCCGTGATTCCACCACAAGCAGCAGGAGGCCAAACCTCAAGGAGCCTTCGAAGGTTGCTGGATGGACCGCTACCGACTTCCTGCTGCACACACCGCACGCACTCCAGAGAGAAGAGGGCAGAGGTGGCCATCGAGGCCACGGAGATGTGGCAGATATGGCAATTTGGACGTTGAAGATGAGCAGCACTGTCCCAGCAAGAGCCAGATGCCCATTGCCCACGATGGGCTTTGTTTGGCACTGCTTAACAGTTTCGCTTCAAGCAGGAATGAAAATGCAGTGTTGGCCGAACTTTTGGATTTTACAGTTTGATTGCATGGCTTGAGCAACTGCAGGGTTGGTCTAGGCCTAGGCGGTGTTCGGGCCTGCTTCCTGGCACGGAGTAGCTCACGAAGTGTGGGCTGTGTTTTGCTACGCTGTCCAATGTTCCAGGGAGACGGCCTGCAAGTTGCTGCAATGCCTAAGATCCTGGATTGGCTGTGCATAGCCTATGTGTGCTAAAGCTAAAGACTGCGGAAGACGGTGGTGACAAGAAGCGGCTTACAACAGAACTTAGGACTATCAATCTATTGCAAGCATTGCGCAATTCAACTTGAGCGATCCATGATTTTATCATCCTTGACTTGAGCTTTTCATAACGAAAGCTTCCTGGTCCTCGCAGCGCGTCCTCGACTTCCTCCATCACGAGGGCCTCCTGGGACAGAGGGGATCCCTCTACGCTGCTGCCTCGGATCGTGGTTCGGAGCATCCAGCCTTGCGTTTTGGAATCGTCGGTTTACGATCGGAGAGTGTATTGCTGGACTCTTCATTCGCGAATTGTCTGGCCGAAGTTTGCACGCTCCAAGGAATTGAGGGAGGATGTGGAAGTCCAGTGTAGTTTCAGGTTTGGGCAACTGAGCCAGACCATGCCGGACGTAAGCTGCTGTGCGCATTGCGCCATGCAAATAAGTTTGCCAAATATTTTTCAGAGTGTTGTTGAAGCCAGAGGTTGGTACTTCTTGGGCAGATCTGAGCAGTAGTTCGATGCTCTCACTACAACCGTGTGACAAACCTATGGCTAGCACCAGGGGCGGTACCCATCCATGCCCACCGGCGGGTGCTGTCAGTACTCGTACTTGGGACGTGTTGTCTAGGGCCTAGAGGCAAGCAGGATCCTCTGTGGTCTGACGCGCTCTCAATATTTTTCCCGATCTATCTGTCTATTGATGCAGCAGCCGTTACGTGGATGAAGCAAGAACTCGTTCATTACTTTGACGTTGAGCTTTAGGGTAACATACGGGAGTCTCCTATAGCGGTCTAACCGCTTTTGGGTGCCGTCGAGTTGGCCGGTCCCTGCCGCTGCCGCATTTTCTCAAAGCCCGTCTACGCCATGACGGGCAGGACGAAGCTTGCTTTCTGTGGCTCATAGCACAGCACAGATTTAGCCATGGCTTCTTGGTTTGCCACGTCAGCAGAGGAGGGGTTGCGAGAGACCCCGCGATTTTCCCTCAGATCGTGTTGTTGGAGGAGATCCGGCGCCAGCTGGAACAGTTGGCAGGGGAATCGGGAGGCAAGTTCACCTCGGAAGATGTTGGCTCGGAGCTCAGACTTATCTTGCCCCGCGTTTTCTCGGAGCGTGTGGAGAGACTGAGGCGAGTTTCAGAACATGAGGGAGAGGGAGCGAGAGAGAGGTGTGTGTCTGTACATGCACACATAGACACACGTGCGAGTCTTGCAGGCCTGGGTGCCCTCTTCGAGCACGGCCAGGCCATGTCTGTCTCATGGCAGATGCCTGGGTGCAGCCGGGTTGAACAAAAACGCAGCCTTGCGCCTGCTGCTCTGAGCTTGGTTCTCCTAAAGACAAGAGTCTCAGACTCTGCGAACAAGGACGACGAGGAAAGGTAAGGAAAGACAGAGCAGGCACAGAGAAGGAAAGGAGGAAGAGGAGAAAGCAAGCAAACCGCAGTGGGGATGAAAAGACACGCACTAGGCAGGAGGCAGTAGTCGCAAAGGGAGAAGAAAGGAGTAGGGGCAGGGAAACGGAGGAAACGACAAAACGGAGTAACGACAGGAATGCAAAGGAACACATGGAGAAAGCAGGAAGAATCACACGTCGTGGGATAAAGACACCACAGAAATCTACAGAAAGCTACACACGGCAACCAGTCGATGATGTCGTGATGCAACGCACCAGCGCAACACCCTGCAAAGCCAGGCGGTTCTCCGAGCAAGCGCAGACCGTGCAGCTGAGCAGGCATAACCTCTCTGAGAGTGCTGTGCTCGAATCGAGGAGTTGATGGTGTTTTTTGACGGTAGTAGTCGTACTTACCTGGCGATCTTGCTGGGCCATGGTCCATGTCGGCTGTGCAGTTGTGATTTTGAGAGTTTGCGTCTCACATTGAGCCTGCAAGCCACAGTTGCGGCGAGCCCTTCAGCCCCTCGGCGCCACCAACCAGAAGCGAAGTCTGGCATACACGAGTCGCAAATGTGTATGACTAGAAAATGATTCAAGATATCAATGCCGTAGTGATATGATCTCCTGAATCCAGGCACCCAGTTTAAACCTGCCATAGAAACCACCGGACAAAGCAACTGCAAACCACATGCTCCGTGGATAGGTGCTGTACATGTGTGTCGATCAGTGGACATCTATCATTGTGCTCCAACTTGTGACCTATGACCGAGCCCCTCTACGAAAGAGAAAGCTTGAGAGCGCCACGGAAGCATGGACTAAACATGCCCGAGCCCTGGATCCGAAACCCTCCGCCGTCAGGTGCAGCAGTCCGTGCAGCGCCTGGCTTCGGAAGCAGACGAAGGCCTTGGAAGCTTCCAGGGGTTCCTTGAGCAGCGCTCCCGGGGCTTTGGCAGTTCACCGAGACCCTGGAGGATAGAGCGTGGCCAGAGGGAGTGGTGGGAACAGGGCGTAGAGGAAAACGGGGGTGCTCGTTAGTACGACGTTTGCGAGCATGGAGAAGTTAGGACAGGTCCGAAAAGTAGCAGCAGCAGTGTGACCCGGAAAATGCGCGGACGGTGAACCAAGGCGACTAGCATCAGCCGAAGAGCAGTAAGATGAGCCGAATTTGCAACAGTGGGAATCGGAGAAGCTGCGACACACAAAAACGCAATGAAACCCAGGAGTGGTCGGCAGGAAAGTTAAAAGCAGCAGCTGAGGCTGCCATTAGGGCAGTTGTGAGATGCTTTGGTTGGAATGTTCCTGTCAGGCCTCCAGACGGTGGGCGCCACCTTCGCTGCTTCTGTGAATGCCTGGTCTGGCCAGCGAGTTCTCTGGTGCTGATATGTTGAAGCAGAAAAGAGCTCTGATGAGCTCTGTGTGCTATCAAGCGAGACTTGATAGCTAAGAGATCGGATGCTGGTGAGCTCAGGCTGCTGAGGACCTGCAGTCCTCGGACCTGATCAATCTTTACAAGAGTGAGGTGGAAACCTTCAGTAGCAGCCTTGGCCTCAGCAGCGCCTGGCTAGGGTCAAGGGTGGGTGTTGCTCGCCAAGCACAGCACCTGCCCTGGCTGCCAAGGTTATGTTCAGGGAGATGCAAATGACGAGGCTTCAAAGTCTGCTGCAATAGCAGCACAGACGCTTTCGCTCTGGAACCAGCGCCTCCAAGGTGATGCGGACGCTCGCCTCATGAGAACTTCCCGGCAGAATAAACAGAAGGGACCACAGGCGTGAATGGAGGCAACAGCCCAAGAGACCCCCAGGACGCCGATGGCAACTGCCTCGCTGCTCCTGGCCTGCGGGGTCTGCTGGAGACCGACGGCCTGCAGACGGTGTTGCGAGCACTAACACGAGGCGGGACCTGGGCTCGGCTCAGTGTGGAGGCTCTCCAGCCTGTCATCTTTTGAGGTGGCCGGAGGCGGCGGCCTTTGCTTGGCCGTGCTGCCGCCGTGGCGGCGGAATGTGCAGCCGGTGCTGCGCCACGCTCTCCTTCAGGGAAGCCGACACGAAAGGCCAGCGAGGACGGCAAGGCACATCTGGGTTGCGACCACAGCCCCGAAACTACTGGATCCTTGGTGCCTCTGCTGCGAGGCCCTGGATGCCAAGCTTTCCGACGCTCAGACGGAAGCTGCAGTTGGAGAGCAGCTTGCGCGGTGCCATTGGCTGACATTGTGTGATGGTGGAACACAGTCCGAGCAGCACACCGGATGCGATTGTACTAGTAACTAGTACAGTGCCATGTGCACCATGTGGAATTGCATGGGTGTAAGGTCGTGGGCGGGTTGGCAAGTCCTTGGTAGGATGAGCAGCTTTTCTCTGACACAGTGCAGCATCTGGGGCTGCCCGAGATGAGATGACTAGTGACTAGTGGCAATAAAATTGTAAAGCGGCAGATTCACACAGCTCTCTCTTGCGAATGTTGAGGCAAGGACCCGCGCATTCGCTGTAGCTAGAGTGTGAGCGCCGAAGCCTTGCTACTCTCCTCACTCCCACCAAGTCCTTGAGCAATAACTAGACCGCGAAAACCAAGGCTGGTTTTGAAGGTCGCCGCGGCGCCCGAGGTTTCGCAGGGATTGCGAAGTTGGGCGCTTGGTTTCGGTTTTTGATCTCGGGCTGGGCCTGAGTCTGAGAAGTTTGAGAGTGTCCAGATCAGTCTTGATTGATTTTAGTGGGTTTTGCATGCAATGCTTGCTGTCGTGGAAACAGTAATTCCGCCGAGTCTTGCTGCATTGTGCCCTCTGAGCATCGTTTCGCGCTCTCTCTTTCTCTGTTGCCTTGTCCTCTGCAGGCTCCATGACACAATAAATTTTGTCCTTCCCATCGCGCTTCAGACCTTGCACGACCAGACGTTGTCGAGGGTGCTTGGATGGCTTGCATGCTCAGATGCAGGCGCTGGTCGCCCAGCTACTGGCGCTGCTGGCAGAGGCCGCAGAGGCCAGAATTTCCTCGAAGCTTTTCGGTGAAGCTTCTATACATTGATCGAGCTTGAGCTTTTCGGGCCTTTGCCTAGATCAGGTTTTCCTTCACTCAGCAAATGTGAAGCATGTTCTGCAGATCCTGCTTGGGATGACTCCTAGTGCCAATGCCATGGTTGATTATCTTGGGGGCACATCGTAATGATGTGGCTGCTGATCATCATGATACCCATCATCGGCACCACCATCACCACCGCCGCCGCCGCCGCCGCGCGGCCCCCCACCGACATACATCGCCCACCACCCCCACCACCCCCACCACCCCTGCCACCCCAGCACCCCCACCACCACCACCACCCCCACCACCACCACCACCACCACCACCACCAGCTGTTGCTACTGCTTGAAATTCTTGTCGCCAGTACTGTCGTCGATAGCCACTAGTCACCAGTCTCGACACTACCGGTGTCCGTATTTTGTTGTTGCTACTGCTGCGCTGAACCACCGAAGAGGCATAGTCGTTGCTACCATTGATTGAACTAGTACCAGTGCAGGGCCTGAGGTACATGGACGCTTTCAGTGCCCCCTGATCCTTGCAGGCTGCCGATCGCTGCGAAGGCGGCGAACTGTCCGAGGAGAAGAATCCGGCCGAGGAGGCTACAGAAAATGTTACAAGTTTAGGGTTTTAGGGGTTTAGGGTTTAGGGTAAGAAGTACGCAAGCGGACTGATTCTTTGTTGAGTGGAATTGGCAGCTTGACAGGACTTACGTAGCTTACATGTGTATGTTTGTTTCAGAGTTGTTGAGTGGCGCACGCTGTGGGAGTGGAGAATGATGACGGGGCCGCCTCCAGCGGTATCTCAGATGTGTTTGGTCAGTGCATGTTCGTGATCCCGGAATCTGTGGGGGTGATGTCCCCCCTAATTCTGACCCGTTGCAGGATGTATGCTGGGTGGTGAACTTGCTGCTCGCCACGCTGACCGAGATGCTTGGCGAGCAATCATTGTCTTAGAATTGTCTTTCGCAAATGCTAAGTCAATTGAATCTCTGTCCCACGCAAACCCCTTTGCTGTCAGTTTGGGGCTCCTGTGACCGGACCTTTGGAAAGTTTTCCGGAGCATGCTTGACCTATCCTAGAGTTCCCCGTCGTCCCAGCTAGCGTGTTTTCTGCGGATGGGTTTAGGGCTTGGGGGTTGTGCAAAGCAGGGTTTGGGGGCCTTGGGGGCTGTACTGTAAAGATCTGTAAAGCTTACTTACCATGAGTGTTCTGCAGGGTTCAGTTGAGGGTTTGGGGTGTAGGATTCAGGAGCAGCAAGATTTTGGGCGATTGGGTTGGAATTTTGGATTGGCGGTTGGCGTCTCGACCGGCAGCTGCAACAAAAACACTCTGCGACCTCAGTAGACTCACGCTGTAGAGCGCGGATGATTTTGCAACTTCCCCCGAAGAAGGGCTTTTATTTCGAGGACAGTCAGGCCGAAGCCTTTGTCCTTTATTGAAGGCGTTTAAAAGAGAGCCTTCGGATTCTCTATAGCGTCTTCCAAGCCCCAAGCACGGAGCTTCAAATCTTTTGCGGCAAGCTGGCCAGGCGGAAAGAGGCTGATGCCCTCGCTTCACATCGTGTGGGTGCGGCTTTGAAAGAGGCTTTGGACAGCTTCTCCCAGGCTGGCAAAGGGTAACTGGAACAGGACTTCGGAAGTTCCCCACAGCTTGACGGCCGAGGTTGAGAGTGATGGAAAGGGCCTGCAGCACCTGCCAGCTGTTTGCAAAGCTGTGCCTTTCGCCGGCGGAGGTCGGCCAGACATAGGCCGGCTGTCCGATTGAAGAGAGCAGCCATTCATGGCCCGGTTGTATGTCTTGCATGACTTCGGCTTGATGAATGCTTGAGTTTTCCGAGCCTCACCCTCTGTAGACGAAAGCACGACATGGCGCCGCAGATCGACAAACCGGAGGTGTCCCAGGACAGTGAGACGTTCAAAACAAAGCCGTATGTTGACGGTGCGAAGGTGTTAATCGGTGGAGAGGTGAAACCTTGGACAGGTGCAATTACCGAGGTCTTCTCCCCGGTGTATTGCGCCGAGACCAATCAGCGAATCTGCATCGGTCGCCAGGCGACCCTGTCGTCGAAGGAGGCAGTGAAAGCAGTAGAGGCAGCTGCCAAAGCATGGGGCCGCGGCCGTGGCGAGTGGCCGCGCAAGTCTCTTGAGCAGCGCGTAGCTGCAGTGGAGAAGCTTGTTGAGAAGCTGAAGGAGCGCAGATCGGAGATCGTGTCGGTGTTGCAGTGGGAGATCTGCAAGAACGATGCCGATGCAGCGAAGGAGTTCGATCGCACGATGGACTTCATCGGTGCACTGATCTCGGCAGCACGGGGCTTCGATTCTACTGGCATGGCATGCCACGGGGGTGTGCATGCCTTGCTGAAGCGTT